ATGAAGGTCAATTAAATGATAAAACTTGAGGTAAAGTTATTTTTTAATTTATTTGGTGCATTTTAAACATATTTATTCATTTAGTGGTTCGTTTATATTTTTCTGATTTTACTTCTAATTATGTCAGTGTCGGTCCTCCGTACGGTAGAACTTGGAAGAGATGATTCAGTGACTGAAACAGGTGTGTTGGAGCAGGGAAAAAATACAAAACATGGCTGCAGCCCTCCAGGATTGCCCACCCCTGATCTAAAGCCTGGTGCGTGTAAACACTCGTCAAGATCGGATTAGTTAACTTTGTGCCTATATCAACAACACTATTGGATTATTTAATCCGATAAAAGAATTTTGCACGTGTAAACAGCTTATGTCTCTCGGCTGGCCTGGGAACGTCTCGGAATCCTCCCAGAAGAGCTGGAAGAGGAAGCTGTGGAAATGGATGTGTATGCCTTAGACATCTGCTGCCCCCTACAACCTGACTCCTGAACAAGTGCACAATGATAGACGGACAAACTATTAGTTTTTTAGACTGTAGCTGTTTTAAGTTGGCAGAAATCCACTATGATCTCAACCCTTAATAAAACTGTTTCTCCATTCTGAAGTGGTTCAAAAAACTTGTTTGAACCACTTAAGAGATCTGAATTGTTGCTCGACTAGAAGCTCTTTAAAGTAAGAATAACTACCATCTCAGAACTAGTCAGAACTCCTGAATGTCAGATTTCTGAAGATTTTCTGAAGAAAAATAAACCAAACGTTTTCACTGATTTCCCCCTGATTAATAAAAACACACTTGGACAAATTGAACTTATTTAAATGCACAGTCCAGTTAGGATTGCATGCATTTTTAAAGGATTAATACTTCAGCTGTAAATCTTTACGTTTTCTCTTCTCCGTTGTATGTTAGCTCCAAAGTTTCCTCCTCGTTATGAACGGAGGCCAACCACAGCCACCCGGGAGATCGCACCGCTCTCTTTATCATTGTTTCTTCAGTCTCCGTGGATCCAACAACATCACGTCAGAATGATGCAGAAATGTGCTCTTTTTCACCACACAGGGAGATCAGGGCCAAGCGGGACCRCCCGGGCCTCCAGGGCCACCTGGTCCTCCTGGACCGAGAGGCCCTCCGGGGGACACGGGAAAAGATGGACCCAGAGGTCTGCCAGGTCTACCTGTGAGTTATTAATCTGGCCTGATCTGTCTTTTTGTGTGTCTTTAAAATGCAACTGGATCTGCAAAAACTGTGTTYTTCTTATTAGGTTCATCCATTTGTTATGGATTTTAATTAAACTTCTTGCTTTGATGGTTAATGCCAATAAAAACCTTTTCTTGAAGCTGATGAGCTAAGGACAAATTCTCCAAAAAGAACGCTTGATTTATATTTCCATTATATACGTATATAT